GTCGAAGCGTATTTGGTGGCCGTCTAGCAGTGCGTGCTCCGCTCCTGCTGATTTTTCTGTTTGTCCCAATCTGCAACTTCAAAAAAATAAATACGACGGGGAATCCAGCAGTTGAATCAGTCTTAGTCGGAAAGCACGGGAGATCACTTCGCCCACTGCCTCATCGCCTTTGAAAATGTCCACCGCAGTTGTGGACGAAACGTCAGGAAGAAATTCCGATAGACCACGGCTTCAAAGCCCGGAAAACATTCCTAAATGTGATTTAACCGGCCGTGAAGGCCTTCATAGTCTGATAATATATTGTATGTTTTTAACTACTAATCCAAATGTACACAAAGAATTATTAAAATATTTATTTCTGTTGTAGGAAAATCTTCGTTTGCACATTATGTGCTACAAAATTTACCAAATCGTGTAATCTAAGTAGACACATGAAAAATAAACACGGGTTTACAACTCGAAAAGACAAAGCAACCCTAAAATGTCCATTATGCGAAAACAAGAGGACTACTTATAAAGAACTTGAGGCACACCTAACTAGCCAACATCATTTGGATATTACGTATAGCGAGTTAAATTTTGCCTCCAAAGAATCGTTTGAACAATGGAAAACCGACATTGAAAAAAAAACTCTATCGTTTTTTCAATGTAGAAGAACTGACGGTAATTTTGTGCAATATGTTTGTCATCGATCAGGGCAATATGTACCAAAACCAAAAACATCCATCCGCCAACGAGCAATTAAAGCCCAAGAATCAAATAAAATAGGAGCTTGTTGTCCAGCTAGAATTGAAATAAAAAAAAAAGATGGTTGTGGAATTGAGGGATTATTTGTGAGCACCCATGTGGGGCACCAACAAGAGGTTGGGAGGCTCCGTTTGACAAAAGCAGAGAAGGAGGTTTTAGCGGGAAAGTTGTTAAGAGGTAAGAACGAGCATATACGAAAGTATTAAGCTCGTATTCTTGCTTGTAGAATAGAGCAATTTTAACATATGAGACATACATTTTTAGGTGTACCTAATCAACAAATATTAAAAGAATTAAGAAATTCGTTTGATCCAAATCTGAAGCTTAGTTACATCACAAACAATGACTTACACAATTTAAAAAAGGCGTTAAATATTCGAGCTGGCGTTATATTCCACGGTGACGACGCAAAAGAGTGTGGTGACGCAAAAGAGCTGGATCGTAATGGCAGCACCTTCATAATAAAAGAAAAATGATCATACCTACCAATAGTGAGCATGATTTTATATCCGATCAATAGCCTGGGTAACACTGTGTTGAATTGCGCTTTTGAGCCCCAAGCTCCGTTTTGAGCCCCAATCCCAAATCCAAAATTGTCGCAATTAAACTAAAAAATCCCGCAGAATGGATCAAAATGGAAAACATTACAAAAACAAAACCCAACAATCACCAGCATTAAAAAACACAACACGGGAATCTCCTTTTCCCCAAAATCATCAGACGATCATCGTCAAATCACTAACATTTTGAGGTCCAACAATATTGAAATAATAAGGAGGACAGAAAACTGTTCTTCATCATCAAGGGCTTAAGACTCTCATATGGAGATCGAAGAAATCCATGCTGAAATAGAACCCCTCGGCCAGATCGGATTAGAGGTGTGATAAACGGTTATTTTTTTGTAACAGGTTGCAACGTTTCAGTTACACTTTGGTAATCCAAAGGTTCCAAAAGGAACATGTTACTTTTAAAAATTTTCATTAGAAATGCGCAATGATAATGGTAGAAACAGTGATGACATAATGATTAAAAATTGATTGATGAAAGAAATAATTCTTAACTAAAGCTCTTAGATGAAATAAAATATTCTAAAATCAGAAACAAAACATGGGTCAGAAGTACCTACTTAAAGAACAAAAGCACTGATAATGAACTAGAGTGGTTAAATAAAATATACGCTTTATTTGCAAAAATGTTTAAAAATCTAATTTTTATTTAAAAATTAGCTATAATTTAAGAATAAAATTTTTGCAGATGCTTTTTACTGAGTCGAGTTCTTCGCTGGTTTATGATAGCGCCCGCTTGAGAAAATAATCTCGCATAGCGGATCTCCATTTCTGGGAAGGGAATTGGCATCTAAGTATCTATTTATTTCTAACAGTGCCTCTGATATAGATGTGTCTAAAAAGAAATTATAATTGATAAATATCGCGAAAAAATTAAAGTAATTAAAATATACCTGTGTTTTCCGATGATGAAACAAGTTTGGCTAAATCTTGAAAAATTGAATAATGCTCATCTTCTCTGTCTTTTAACTGAACTGAACTCTGATTGATGGGGCACCACAGTTTTTGTGTTAGCATTTGAATGATTTAGGCCTGTTATTTAGTCAGCAGCGTATTTTTTTATATACTTGGCGGCAGCTGGTTCGGAAAATGCCAATAGCTTATATCTCGGGTCCAGTAAGGTTGCTAAGCCAATAGTTTCGCAAAATTCGATATTCTTCATTCTCGTTTTTAGTGCTTCAAAAAGTTTGACATTTCAACTGTGGTGAAATTTATGTCTTAGACTAGACTCTCAGTTTGTTCATAGCTCATAGGCAGGTGTACATTTATGGGCTGATTATGGGCATACACATCTCGAGCTAAGTTTATTAATGAGAGAAATCGCTTTTTTTAAAGATTTATTACATACAGAACGTCACAAAACTAAATACTTATAGACTTAAAATGCTGAATTAATATGTGATCCATATCTAAACGGTTATGGATTCTGGAGAACTGAAGTGAACAATCATCAAGGCAACACGTCGCTAAACATATGTTCTATTATTTGTTATTTTATTTTGTAATCTTTCATATTTAACATAAAATGATAAACATCATTACTGTTTTGTAATAATATATGTTTGAATTTAATTGAAAAAATATTTGAGTTTACCTCGGTTATTTCAGAAAACATGGGTTCCGTCTTCTTATTTTCTATTCCGCAACGCATTCTTGATGTTAAGACGATACGAATCTCCCTTCAGCTTATAATTGCAAAATATGTAAAACGAATTTACTAGGGCATATTTTCAATTCTCTATAATATTTCTATGATTAATTGTGTTTACCACGCATCAAAATGGATTTTTTCCCTTCATATACCCTTTGATTCCTTTATGATTAAACTTTATTAATTTAGATGAATTTTTTAGTCTTGGATTAGTTCAGTTAGAATATATTTTTTTAATCTACGCGCGATAGCTTACACTATATATGCGTATACATATAGTGTGTCAAGTGTGACCTGTCTCTATAGCTCTTCCTCGTTTTACCGTATATTTTAAACAGATAGAACGTCTTCAAATCACCAAAATTAATTGATTTTTTACTTCTATTCAGATACAAGTTGAAGCAACGAAAAGTATTAAGTAATGCTGAACGTCAAAAACGATTTCGTGCTAAAAAAGGAGCATTAAGTAATAGATCAACTCAAAGTAGCTTTCATCAACTGAACGTCAAAGATTATACAAAGCAAATACGAAATTACGACAAAAAAATACAGAAACTCAAGAAGAAGAGTTTACACAAAGCCAAGAAGAGCAATATGTACAACATCTCGTTAAAGAATGTTAAATGTTGCAAATGAAAAAGATATTTTACATTCAAAAGGAAATTATATGAAAGTTTACCTATTCCTGATCCATTTATAAATTATTAGACTAAGAATATTAAAATTATAAAATAAAATTATTATTGCCATCATGCGTTAAACAAGTTCAATATTTTATGGTTTCTATTAATTTATGAAGTTATCACTTCTGTCGAGCGTCCAGTGACGCACACCATTTTTTTTTCCTGTACTTCACTTACGTGAACATTTTGTAAATTGCCTTTTAATGGGCTTTTCGTGCGAAAAATTTTTTTTTTATGCTTCGCACCTCTGCAAATTTACCATCCAAATATGCGAGAATTAAAGATAGTGCGGGTACGGGAACAGGTAAGTTTTTTTCATGTTGCGATGAACATAGATTTTATTAAAGAATAATGAACGATTTAGCAACTAGCCAACAGATCCTTATATGCAGGTATTAAAAGCTTTTTACCTAAACGGAGTTCAAACAAAAATCTATTTTGCCGATTTTTGCTTAAAATAATAGAGGCTCAAATCGAACTAACAGCAAAAGCAGAGGTGCGCTTGGCCGTTTTCACTCATATTCAAGACTCTGTTTCACCCACTTAACCGCAGTTTATAGGAAAATTGGAATGTACGTTTTGTTGCTACTCATGTTTAGTTTCCAAATTCATATTTTGCACTCGGCGAAAAGATCGCAAAAAAAGTTGAAATCGAAATTGTCCGAAAACTATCAATCCATCCGAGTACAGCTTTTGGACACATGAAGTATATTGTTAGACTTAAACTTTATGAAAGAATACACTCGATGCAAAATTCAAGGATTTAATGTGCGCCTTTCACTTTCGCCATCAAATTAATAATAATCCATCTCCCCACTCCCTGGTGGACAACGCCACTAGTTGTTCCTCCCACAGAATATCCCCCCAGGGATGTTCTGTGTTGTTGCCCGGAAGTACCGCCGCGCCGTCTGTCCCGAAGTATGAAGAAGAATGAAGTAGAACCGATGTTGCCACTCCCGCCTACCAGTGTTGCCGCTCTCGCCGTGGTAGCTCCGTTTTCCCAGGTTGCTTACATTCGGTCATCCTGCAAAAATGAATGTCCTCATTAATACCTCATCCTCCAAAAGATCAATCAGATCCTGTCGATCCGTAACCTCGCCAACAGAGTCTGATAATACAGGGTGTCGCAAAAGGATGATAAGCGGCTGTATCTTGGAAAGTATGTGTTGTAGTGATCGAAAAAAAATTTGATAACAAACTGGAAGAAAAGAATTTGCTGGAAATTATTTTGAAATTTCTCAGATGACTACTAGATGGCGTAATTGCAAACGGTATTTGAAAAAGTCGATTTTATACAGAAATTGCCCCTATAAGTGAAACATCTAGTAAGTTTAGTCAAAAGATCATAAAAAACCGTACTACTTTCCTTATGAGCTTTTTTCCTAACTTGTCAAGTAAAGCGTGGGGGGAGTATCAAACCTCTTAATTCAAAGAAACCTGTAACTCCGAAACGGCTTGACCGATTTCAAAGTTTTTACTATCAATTAAAAGAGCAATAAAAACTTTACAATATGTGATATAAAAGTAATCTTAATAATTTTCGAAAAATCCGCTGTTCGAAAAAATTTCTTTGTTTTAATTTTTCACAAAAATTTCAAATGCTTTCATCAAGCATTCGAAAGCACAGGAAAAAATTAACTAAACCGCAAAAACCGCATCTTAAAATAATTTCTGGAATCGATTTAAGACTTGAAAATAATAAAGGTTGCCCAATTCAAATCATTAAATGATAATTATCATCTTTTGACTAAACTTACTAACTTACTAGATGTTTCACTTATAGGGACAATTTCTGTATAAAATTGACTTTCAAAATACCGTTTGCAATTACGCCATCTAGTCGTCATCTGAGAAATTTCAAAATAATTTCCAGCAAATTCTTTTCGTCAAGTTTGTTATCAATTTTTTTTCCGATAACTCTACAACACATACTTTCCAAGATACAGCCGCTTACCATCCTTATTGCGACCCCCTGTATATACGGATTTTTACAAGGCGTTTGATGTGTTGGATCATGGTACTCTCATATCGTGGCTTCCCGTATCACACTGCAATCATGATACAAGGAATATATTATATATGTATATATATATATATATATTCCTTGTATGCACTGCAATGTTCATTCGCTCCTACCTTGTCTTTATTTATGCTCTCACCTGTCACGCAGATCCCTGAAGGTGGAGTGTTGTGGTCAGACTTCGCTGCCCTTTATGGCAACGTCGGGTGTGCGACAGGGCTGTATTTTGGGTCCATTATTTTTCAACTTATTTATAATGAATTTTAACATGTTAAAAAGACCATCAACATTGTTCCAAGTCATTAATCCATGAATTTGCTCAAAGAACTAAAAGAAAAGGTCACCTCATTTTTTTGAAGTAACGTTTTCCTAGCAACAGAACTGAGTTATTACGCCGGCGCGTTGGGTTGGCGCACCAAGCCATTTGCGCAACACTGCGCCAACTGCTAAAAATTCACTGAGTTACCCAGGCCTACTGTATGTGTATGTAAACTTTACAATATTTCCAGATTTACCGATCAGTATTACTTAAAAGTTCATCAAAGGAAGCACACTGGTGAAAAGCCACTGGAATGCAGTATTTGTGAGAAGCGCTTCTATGATCCCAGATCGCTCAAAACCCACTTGACTGCTCACAAGGGCATAAAAATGTACTTATGTAGTTATTGCGGGTATGTAAAAAAAATGTCTGAAACTCCATCCTTAACGAATATTTAATAATCACATGCAATTCGTTTCAGAAAGTCATTTCTGCAAAATTCGCACCTCACACAACATATAACAGTTCATGATCAGAACAAACCCTACGTATGTACCATGTGCCAGAAGAGATTTACACAATCAGCTTCGTTGCGACGGCATCAAAAGGTGCACTCCAAAAATTTGGGCTAGATTTGCAACAAAGTGGAAGTTCAGTTGTTTTAATATTAGGGACAAAAGTAAACACATTTTTATTAAACAAAACATTTAATGTACGCTCTACAATGTAATTCAAATAAATCCATCCATAAATAATTTTTTTTACAAACCTCTTTTTGGGTAGTTCGCCTCAAAAATTTTTGTCTTTAAAGACAGAATTTCCTCACGCCTTTTATTACAGATTGATAAATAGTGCTCCTATTTCGCAATAAGAACAAATTATTTATCAAAAAGTAATCAAGAACTATCACCTAGAGGGTATCATGCGACACACTTGGGCTCAAGCTGTAAGAGAAAATTCCAATTAGTAGAGAAATTAATTTGAAAAATTACCTTGACGTTTCGATAGCTATTTTCAATAAATTGCAATAAATTGTGTAACAATAGTAGGATAATACAGTATATGAAAATTCGCTCTGATAATTCGTCTGTGCAAATTGTAAAAAAAAATTAATATTAGGACTATCTTCAAAACTGAAATACAATTAGAAGTAAAATTTCAGTAACAAAACCTCATGATATAATTGATAATACAAAAAATGTAATTTATAAAATTCCTTGCGAATGCAATAAATTTTATATAGCAGAAACCTCAAGACCATTACACAAAAGACTCAAAGAACACCAATCATACATAAAAAACAGAGAATATCATAAATCACAGATTTGTCAACATGCATTTGATAATTGCCATAAAATTCAATGGAATAATTCCACAATTTTAGCAAAAGAACAATCCACAAAAAAATATAAAATTAAAGAAAGCGCACTAATTTTACTAAATCAAAATAATTGTGTTGCTTCATGTTCATTTAATTTAAGTCATACATGGTTACCTATGCTAAAATCTGAAGTAGACCAGAGAAACATACACTCAAATTAAATTTA